TCAGATACAAAATATAACAGTTCATATGACATTATCAATGAGCTCGTGTCCATGCTAAATTAAAATCACGATTTCAGCATGTACACTACTGTTCAAAGGTGAAATCTTTTATTCAACAAGAATGCATAAAATCGATCAAAAGTGAAAAAGACTTCAAACCGAAAAACCATGATACATGGGGTACTCTCATGGCCTTCCCCGCCCCCCCAAAAAAGGTCCCATTAAGGGCAACATGTGCAGAACTAATCTGTCATATAGGCTACATAAAATTATAATGAGAACACGACTGTAAAAGATTACTTCATGTTTCAGTGCATTGTTGGAAAGAATATAAGATATATAAGATATATAATATAAGATATAACAGAGTTATATCTTCATGACTAGCAAAGTCAAGTTTGCTTGTGAAGCCACTCACAGCATTTTTGTGGAACTGTAAGTTGCAATATTTTGTTTATATATATATATCGTGTATAGATTATTTCATACAAGATGCATTTGGTCGAGTTACGCTGCAGTAAAGCGCTTCATTGTAGGCCTACTATGGTGATTATCTCTTCAAGGCATAGCGCGAGCAGCACAAACAACAATGCAGAATATTAATGAATATTAACCATGACTGGGACTGCCATATACTTAACATTATAATGAACATACTTCTATAATAAAACGCTGTGAATTTTTAGAGTTTAGCTGCCGCGTTTCGCTGCGGGATTGTGGGAGCGTTGTGTGTAATTCTACACATTCCCCAAGGTTTTGCGATTATAGAGTGGGAAATTCCCGCAAACATTTATGCACTATTGTATGCAAGTTGAATCCTAACAGATTATCAGAGCAGATCAGTCATCCGTGTCTTCTCCCACTCTCTCAAAATGCACAAATGGCCTCACATCCATAATATCCACATTGAGTTTGCTCTGCAAGCGAGCTGCACGCTGCAATACAAGACTAGCCCACATTTCGGATAGTTGACGGAATTGTGACTTGCACGTCATATGTCACGCCAATTTAAACAATCAAGCTATTTTAACCCATAAAGTACTCTGAGAGATGCCACCTCTTAAACGGCTTGCGACTCTCAAGTGTCAGACTGAGTTTACATATTTGAATAAAATAATTTCCTTATTGTCCAGCTATTCCATTTTATTTATCCATAGCACATGCATTTTTATATGTAGCCTAAGTATAATGTCTAGTTGTCCAACTAATGTCCAATGACTAGTTTGCATTATTTAGGCATTATTTTATTTTTTAAAAATTTATACATTTTTGGTAACACTTTACAAATCAACCATTTTTAAAGTCTTATTTGTGAGTAGGGGTGTAAATCGGATGGTTCGTCACGATACGATACAATATCGATTCTTGTACCCAGCGATACGATATTTGCAGATACCTTAAATTATACGATACGATTCGATTCAGGAGTATATCAATCGATATAATGATATTATATATCTATTTTAAACAACCATCTACATTTTTATTAACTCACAAATGCAACCAAAATATATAACATGAACATTTATCTGAAATTTTCACATCCTGTACCTCAATTGGGACATTCACAACAACAAAAAAATTGTCCTACACATTTTTTTTTTTAAATAATAAAGAAAATAAACTGGAAAAACAATTATGGCTGCTACTATGGGCTCAGTGCTAAAAATCTTTTCTACAGATAACCAAATTACAAGCAATAGCAGAAATTAAATACAATACAACAAAGACACAAGTTCAATAAACAGTGTTTTTCAGGTTTTTCAGCACCGTGTAGACAACCCCGAGCATCTTTTATATTCACCTTGTGCCTTCGGGCAGTCCTTATATCGGGTCCTGATACGCGAGTTTGAACGAGGATGCACGCGTTGGCGGTAATGCATAGACGGACATTATGTGAAAATTTGGACAGTGCCAAAATAAAGGTGCCTATTTATACAACAGACATCGATATTTTACGTGTGGCATCGATGCATAGTATCGTCAGACATCGTATCGATGTATCGATCCATATCGTTTAATCGTTACACCCCCATTTGTTAGTGCATTAATTAATGAACTAACAGAGAGCAATTATTGTTATCATTATTCAATATTATTGATAAATAAAAAAAAATGAAAGTGAATCTAGTGTTCTATAGCATTGCTGGTGCCATGCCATGAACCCTACCCCCACAGCAAAACGAACCGTGGCTCCAAAACGGTGATATGAACCGAAACATTTGATTGGTATATCTTTACACCCCTAGTATATATACAGTGTTCTCTGACCTTGCAGCCCCGCAGTATGTGGTACCACACAGATGTGCCTCCAAAGTCTATGTGGAAATCTGTGTAACAGCCCTGCACGCTCATTAGGCAGTACCTGGAAACAGGCAAATTTGAAATAGGGGAAAATTACTGTTTTGCTGAAGAATAACAAAAATTAACAAAGAGAGCTGTGTGAGAAATGGGACATGAAGTTAATGCAGCAGGCTTATTTCCTTGTGAACTGACCCTTTTTGTTTTAAAGCCTTTACAAGATGTAAGATAAGAGCGAGCATTCATTAATATAGACTCTATTGAAGGATCTAATATATGCTTACTTCTGCACTTTGGGGTATTGCATGTCAGTGATAGAGTTTGTGGCATCTCTTTGTCTTTCCTTTAAGTGTCTTGGCCACATGTTGTCCACCCAGTCAATCATGTCCACCTGTGACAACATGGATAAATAATCTGACTATCACACACTGGTCTAAATATATGTATTTTTTGGTTTGTCTTAAGTGTTAAGGTACCTACCGTGGTAGGTCTTTTGACATAGCTCTCTAGTTTAGTGTGGCTAAATTCAAGGCTGATAACATTATAAAGCTTCTCTCTCTGAGAGGGAGGAGTCGCATAATAGCTATTCCATTGCATCATTGACATCTCCGTCCCCTTCTGAGTAGACACATCCATCACGTCAATCATACGCCGACTTCCTGTAAAGAGTGATTAGCAGCAAGGAGATGCTGAAGCACCACTGATGCTAGTCAACAAGAAATTCATCAGCATATCCAACCACAAAAACACTTACCGACTAACGACTTCACATCATTAACACTGAAGTCTGGATCTGGCATTCTAAAAAGGAAATATTGCAAATTCAGATTAAATTCAAATGTAAAACTTTATAAACATTCTGAAATGTGAAAAGAAAAAAAATAGGAAAAATAGGAACTGTAAAGGGCACAGAGGAAAAATTACATTAAAAAAAAGGACACTCTCTTACTTAATGCCAAGTCCATCAGGTCTCTCAAAGATGATGGGGTCCCGAAGCCCACATCTCTGAATGTACTCATATGTGAGGTCTAAAAAACAACAGGCAGCGTTAAATTACACACTCCATGAATATATTTGAAGAGTTCCATAAAGAGCCACATCTTTTTTTCACCTTTGCCCTCCATGCGCTTGACTCGGTCTGAGCTGAAGCGTTTGCTGTGGAGCTTCTCCTCCAGATCGAAAGTCCTCTTTCCATCAATCTCTTCATCGGAAAGACCATCGTCTTGGTAACGCCGCCGTGTGCCAGACCGCTGTAAGATAAGAGAGTGAGAGAAGAGACAATGAAAAACCGATGCCAGAGCAACACTATTTCTCTGCATACACTCCTCCTTGTCTTCTGAATGCTGAACAAATGTTGTATAACTACCACCGTTTCAACTTGTTGGGCTATTTGAGCGCACACATACACTAGGCTGAGAGATGCACTTGCCCACAATCTCACACATAGATACAGTGAGCATAGAAAAGAATCACCCCCCTTTAAAATAATCATATTTTGTTGCTTTGCAGCCTGAAATGAAGATGGACACCCTTTTTGTTTTATCCAGCTATAACACCAACATGTCAGGGGAAAAAAACAGAATCACTCAGTTGGAATTGTGTGCATGTGACAACAATATCACAAATTCCCCACAAATGTGGCTTGAATGGCAGAGTTGCAAGAAAAAATCCACTCCTCAAGAAAGGTCACATGCAGTCACAAACAAGCTTTTCTGAAACACACCTTGAAGATTCTGAGGCAGATGAGACTAAAATTGAATTATTTGGCCTCAACACCAAACGGTATGTCTGGCAGAAATCCAATACAGCTCACCATCCAAATAACAGCATTTCTACAGTAAAAGTGGAAATATCCTGTTATGGGGGTGTTTCTCTGCAGCAGGGACTGGAGAATTTGTCAGGATAGAAGGAAAATTGGATCAGGCAAAATACCATCAAATTCTTGAGGAAAATCTGCCAGAAAGATGTCAATGGGAAGAAGGTTTACCTTCCAACATAACGACGACTCAAAGCACACAACAAAACTGAGCACACAGTGGCTGAAGGAGAAAAGGGTGAATGTCCTTGCATGGCCTAGTCAGAGCCCAGACTTAAACCCCATTGAAGATCTGTGGAATGACTTCAGACTGCAGTCCACAAACGGTCAGCATCAAATTGAACTGAACTTGAGCAGTTCTGCAAAGAAGAGTGGGCAAATATTGCAAAGTCTAGATGTGCAAAGTTAGTAGACAACATATCCCAACAGACTAAAGGCTGTAATTAAAGCAAAAGGTGGTTCAACAAAATACTGATACGTAGGCTTGCTGCGACAGACGTTTTTTTCTGTTATACCAGTGTTAAGCCGCAACACCGGTTACGTCATCGCGGCACCGCCTCCCCCCACCGTCGTTTTTATTTATTTATAGTAACAAAAATAATTTTGCCTAGTTCAGTTAGAGGACAGACACTTTTAAAAACTAAACGCTCAATGCAGCGTGCCAAACCGTGCGCGAACGACAGTGCAGGAGTCAGATTTTATTTATCACATGAGGAGAGTGAGTTGAGTTGAGTCGAGAAGACCCTGCTCTGCCCTCAATGTCTCAATGGTGATGTGGAACCACAAGCCAATCACACGCTTCCTAAAGCCCTGGCCTGTCGTCACACCCTCTCAAACGCAAAGACAACGAGACAAAAAAGGGGGTAGAAAAAATAAATCTATGAAATGAATTGGGCATGACTGTGCAGTATCTCAGAAAATTTGCAACAAACCCGTTCAAATGCCTTCGAAGAACTAATTAAACCATGTGGACCTCTATGAGCATGCAAACAAAGCCCTATTGAAAAAAAAAAAACCTTCACATTAGCAGAAAATAGCCCAAACACACTAGACGAATATTGGCCTCATAACTCTTCATTCAAAATTTGAGAATTGCATTGTGTCATGTTAAAAACGGTTTTAAAAACAAGTGCTTCAGGACTTGTGTTCTGTTCTGTTCCAATACAACAATTGTGCTAGCTGAATGCAAGATCGTGTCCTGTGTGTACGACAATCTCTGCTGTCACAAACTGAAAGTCACCATGTACACCATGTTCCTGTTCTAACCAATCAGACAACAAGGAACCGCCCAAAACGCAACCACAAACACATTAAAAAAAAAAATATATATATATATATATATTTTTTTTTTTTTAAAGACAATTATTATGATGATCAATCAATGTTATCATTGACAAGTACTTAGGTGCTTGTGCCCATCCCTAGTCAACGAAGCTGCAGTTTTCACCACCTCTGGGCCTGTGCAAAATTCCTGCACCTGTCACTGCATCTTTCGATCTCTTCCATTCACAACAGATCAACAAACTGTCAGATCTCTCAGTAACAAAAGCAGCAAATAAGCATTTAGGGTGAAACAGTACAACCTGTACTGCAACATGTCCTCATTTGACACCAATAACGGAGCACAATAGGGGAACACTGGAGGGGGATGAATGAGGATGAAGTGGAGGCTAAAAAGAAAGAAGTAAAAAAAAA